AGCAGTGACTGTTGAAGTTTTTGGTTATTATCTAAAAGCTAATAATCTTTGTGCCTGTAGATAATAAGATAATGAAAAAAAAATGAATCTCAGAATTCACCATGGCCAGACTTAACTCTGCACATTAGATACAGCTTGATATTCTTTTAATTTAAAGTAACATGCGTGGAAGAGTTTATGGGAGAATGGAGAAGATATGGGTTAAGTGAACTGGAGGTACAGAAATTAAGGTAGCAAAGCCATTTATGGTTATGTTTTGCTATAATTTTGAAGGGATGCACAGTGGAAGCAAATGGTTTTATAGTGTTCAAGAAGGCAATGCAAACATTAGAGAGTTGAAAATCATATTTTAAAGTAATGATTTTTGGGTGTTTCCTGATATTTTATAATTGTCCAACCTTCAGGTTGGGATACAGTTCATATTATCAAAAGGAAATGCTGAGTTATCATGTGATAGTCTTGTTTCACTGGGAAAAAAAGTAAATTCCTGTGAAATATGGCTGTTCATACTTAAAATATTGCTGGTTGATGCTGATTTACAACACATTTTCTCTACTACATATGGCATGGAAAGATGTGCTCTTGGCTATAGTGCAGGCAAAACAAAGTGAGCACAGGATATTTCATAAAAGCAGATGGAAGTTCTCATTTTATTCCTATTTATAGCTGGTATTTGTGGTGTCCTTTCAGTTCTGTTATCCAATCACTATTGATGTATTTCTGTGGAAGAGATGGATGGTTCTTCCCACAAAAATTCAGAGATAGCAGAAAAATTAGAATTAGGTCATTCCAAGCAGTGGCTGAGTTTGCACTAATAAATGAAGTTTTCCTTCTGTCTTGAAGCAGGAATGGTGTTGTCTAACTAATATAGTTTCCTGGTAATTTTCTGCTTTAAATAAAAAATAAATCAGTACTCAGAGTAAAACCATAAGTTTATTTTGCCTAATAGTGGAAATAGGAACCGAGTGGAAGTAAGTCTCTGGGCAGATGCAGAGCTCCCAAGGCTTTGCATACTGCTGGTTATGGTTAACCAGCCTCTGGGAGACACAGGAAGTCTGTGGGGAGCTGGGCACAAGCTGAAGTGTCAGGACACCTATTCTTTTGTCTCAAAGTATTTCCTGAGCTGTGAAGTAATGATTACCCACTCACCACATGGAAGTGTTATGAACATCAATATTTTTTAAAATTAGAGCACTTAGAGTGCTGGTGGTGGGGGAAATACATGTGTAAAGGAAGGAGGGAGCTAAATTCTTTTGGTTTTGAAGCCAAAAGAGATAATACTGTTTATGCAAACCTTCTTTTTTTTTGTGGAGTAAGAATCTAATTTTAATATGCCAAAGAGACTGCTGGCTAGGAGAGAAAAGAATTAATGGCACCTCACACTGAGACAGAGATATTTGGAAGTAATTTGTTTGGTCCTGCTGAGTTTTGTGGCAGTGGAAAGCTAAGCTGCTTCTGTCTTTAGAAAGTGTGCCCACAGGGAGTGCCAGACAGCTTTTCTGCCACTCCAAATTAATGATTCTGATTGTTTTTCTGCCAAGATAATATCCTTAGGTACATTTGGAAACTCAAGTAGATTCTGTTGAAAAGTGAACAAAATTAACAAAATACACAACTGCTGTAATAATTAGAATTATGTGGATTCAGTCCAAAAGCAGAATTGGGCAGTTTTCTTTTAAAGTCTGCATTAATGAGTCAATGATGGGGGAAACAGCTAAATTTAAAAGTAAATTTTCTAAGCTAAAAATAAGTTGTCATCATCTGCCAGGAGAAGCTAGTGGTTTACAAGAATACTAGAACAATGCAATCTATCATGAAGCCTTTGTTGCATGTAAAATTACTTGAATATGTCTTTAATATGTTCTTGAGTCTCTTTAGTTGCATTCCCTCTTCCAACTGATGATTTTAAGGATGTGACTAAAAAAATAAAAATCTTTTGGGTAATATTTGTTTAATTATTTCTAGGCTTAGGGCCAGTTACATTCCCTGATAATGGAAACAATGTCAAAATTTTAAGTGATTAATTTTAGCATTTCCAGCAATATCCCGCAGAGATGTGGTAGACTCTTCCCTTGTCTTACAGCTTGGTCATTTCACATCCTCAACTGCTAAACTGGAGGAGAGCATGGCTCAGGATTTATATGGGACTCTCCTAAAGCAAGAGTGTGCTTCAGCAGGAAAAGGGGTTAACAGTGACTGATGTCAGATTTCTCACTAAGCTGAAGTGGTAAGTATTATGCTGCTAAGACTTCTTAATTAATTTGATTAATTAAAATTTGTTTCAGTCACATTAATATACTGTTCATGAATTCCAAATTTTGCAATAATTTGTCTAAATGCTTTTTGTCTCAACTTAAAATCAATTACCTGTGTAGCTTATTGTGATTTATGATCTTTACTGATTGACTTTTAGTTAAGTAAAGGTGAAATGCACATCTCTGTGTATGTACCTGACACATATATGTGCTTCTGTTTTTGGAAGAAGTATGAGTTAAAAGCAAACTAAAAATCAGAAAGCAGTCTTGAAAACAGTTGTGCCCATATTTAAATTCAAACACTAATAAAACAACTGAAATATGTTGGGAAGAAATAGGCTTTGCATTTGACTTTTTGGAATCTCCTTCATCCTTTGAGGCAGATTTTGTGTTAATTCTCTACAAAATGAGAATCACAATGCCTGCAGAAATACTAGGTTGGGTCCCAGAAACAGTATGTTACTGTGGACAATTTCTAATCAGCCTGACTTCCCAAGTGTAATTGTTGACTTCCAAAGTGAATAATTAGCCAGACAGCAGCAGTGCTATGATAATGTCCTGTTCTGGTGCTAGCTTGTTCAAAGCCTGCTCGGTAGTATCTTTTGATTGCTCCTCTTTATTGTGCACATGTGCTGTTAAAAGGCAGCTGTAGCCCAGAGCTCCTGTGCTATCACCTGTCCTATTTTACACAGTATTTCAGAGCAGCCTCTCAATGAGTTCTGGAGGTTGTGAAGTTACTCAGAGTCCAGAACATCCTCCAGCCCGTGATGCTTGCTTTACCTTAGGGTTTGAAAAGGTGTTTTTCAGGGAGAGCTGCCTGGAAAGAAGGAATCCTGTTTGTCCTGGGAAAACCTTTTATTGCCAGATTTAGGCTTTTTAAGCATTACTGAGTAGCTAAATATTGTATTAATGCTGCAGTTTCCTTCTCCTGAAGTGTCTACAAATCACCAGAAAGCATTTTATTTTGTTGCATTCCTCTAAATAAAAAACAAGTTCTGACATGTTGAGAATGTTGGCATTGCACATTTTGCAGAAATAGGATTGATTAATTCTTAAATTAAAATCAAGTAACAAAAGGTTCATGTATCAATCAACCAACCACAAATATCAATATAAATAAATAAATATTTATATAATGCATTGAAGCTCTCTTGATGTATATTTAATGCAATGAAAGGCCAGTATTTAAATTTGAGTGCCAATTAAGTGCCTGACTTACAAATCTTCTGACCCCATAGATTTAGAACTTAGGATCAATTTTCCAATAGATTAGTTTTCAGTACTTTACTGGGGCTTCTAAAGTTGAAAATTTTTGCTCTAAAGTTGTTTTTCTAGGGTTCATTTTTAGATATCTAAACTAAAAAAATTGCAAATTTGAATTTACCTGAAATAATCAGGAAGTGAAAAATCCTGGCAACAAATTTGAAATTCACATTGGGACTCTTGCCTCTAGTGTCTGTTAAAGGTTCAGTGTACATTTTTTTCTCAAAGTGACCATTTTTTAAAAAAAAATAAAGTGCCATACCAGGCATCCAGGAACAAAGCTGCCCAAATTGTTGCATGCATTTATAAACCTTGGTTGGGACACAGTGCAGTAGGGATTACTGTGTGATTAAAAAGTGTTGAAATGCCTCTTTCTAAAATTATTACATGTGCAGCAAGTTACAGGTATTAATTTACAAGAGATACATTGAAAACATATAAAATGAACAAATTATTTTAATTTTTACTTAATTGTTTTTTGAACGCGTGTTATTTCATTGTATCATCTGATTATATATTTTTGAAGAATTGTATAAAGATATGTGACAAGCTGGTAGCAAAGAAAAAGGCTGATTGATCTTTCCAGCACTTAATGGACATTGTTTTTTCCCAATCCTGAATGGCTTTCAGGATTGGGAAAAAACAAACATATAAGTAAACTATAAAAATTATTAATAAATATTTCTGCTTCTTTACCTGAATCCTCAGTGTATGTTCTACTTGCTGAATATTTTCAGTAATTAAAACAATCTACCAACTGAGTTATGTGCCAGACTTTAACTGAACTGTGCCCACATATGGAATTTCATCTTCAGAATCTAAAATGTGGAGGGTTCACGACCATTACCTTGCTAAGAGCACACACAAAGGTCACCACAGCATGTGACACATTTACTCATTCTGTGGATCCCCGTGGACCCAAATGCATTTCTGGTGTAATGTGACTTTACCTGAAACATTTTGCTCCAGCAGTTATATTCACCTGTGAGGTCCACTGCTTATTTTGATATTCTGAGTTTATTGCAGTATAATAATTTCCTATCAATCTGAAAAAATTTGCATGCTCCTTTCATACGGAAAATAGAACTTAACCTAAATTGTCATGCAAAGGAACATTACCTGAAAGGCGACTTGGGAGTCAAAAAATGATTTAAGTAATTTTTGTTTCATGGTATAGAGACTTAGTAGTATTTATTATTTTATTATTATATTGAATTTATATCCCAGCCTATAAAAATTATTTCTAAGCAAAAAATGAGAGGAAAATTTAAAAATTCATGCCCTCAGAGGGGAATTTAATTCAGATGGCTTTCAAAACATTTGCTATTAGTAGCTTTGTAACACTTAGGTGGAAAAATAATGTTTTACAAGCATTAGTAAATGCACCTTTCCTAGTTGCTGAGGAAACTCCCTGTCAGTGATACGGTTCATCCAAGTACTCTGTGAAACATGGGCTTTTTTTCCCTCAGCTGCCTGACTCACCTTTCCTAACATCTCAATTTGTGATTTCCATACAGAGCTGTGATGTAAACAATATAAAAATCGTTGTTTACGTCTCTGTGTCGGCGCGGTGCTCGCTGAGGAGGGGGCGAGCCGGGACCCCGCCGCTCCCGGCCGTGACTCAGCGCGCTGGGGCGGCGGGGAGGCCTCGCAGCCGGCCGGACACGGAGCCCCGGGGCCT